GCGCTGCTAGAGCAGAACACCTCTGAAGGAGGCCTGCTGTGAGAAGTCACAGGGTGGCATTGTCAGAGTGCAGGACAGTCAGGCAGGACCAGCAGAGCCCAGGACTCGGCCATGTGGCTTTCACCGATCCTTTGTTCTGCATTCTCACCAGGCCTAGCTTACCTGGTTTTGAAAGACTCCCTTTCGAAGAAGTTTTTGGTCCTGCCTTCTTTTTACTTCATAGCACAGGAAGGTCTTATTCCAGCCATCAGGATCCGGTAGGTTTTCAAAGTGGAAGTAGAATGTTTCTGTTTTTAGCCGTTTCATTGGCTCTCTGGGCACCAGAGAGAAAACAGAAACTACAGAGCTGGCCTGCAGTCACTCTAAGCTGCTGTCCACTAAACACGGGTCCACAGAGCCACAGGGACGGTGCCTCCCCATCAGCCCTCCAGACCCTGAGAATCCCGCAGCCTTTTCAGGCTGGAAGACAGGAGAGCAGAGGAGGGCATGGGCCAGAGCGTGCCCTTCCCACCTGGGGTCCCAGCTCTGCTGCTTCCAATGGGACACCCCACCTCCCTGTGTTCCTGCCTATTCACCCCCAAGCCAGGAGAAAATGTCAAACCCTTTCACCCTGAAGGAATACCTTCTAACCTTCCACTCCCATTCATTCCTGACTCTCCATCTCTGTGGGCTACATTTATTGAAAAGTCAGGGCAGTGCCTCAGGTCACACACAGCCACCAGTGTGGTGAGCACTTCATGTCTGAACACATGGCAGCCTGCAGGAGCACCCCCCCCCCCAGTTACCAGATGAGGAGCAGTGTCCACAAATAGTGGGGGGTCACCTGCCCAGTCACTCAGTGGGCAGATGACAGAGCTGGGTCTTCCACCTGGGCCAGCTCATGTCCAGCAGGACCTGTAGTAGAGCACCTGGCTAAGGAATGAGGTAAAGACCTTAGGACCAAGAAAGACAAGGTGGTCTAATTAACTCCTATGTGCTAGTTGTAAAACTGACCTGGCTCTGTAACCTGAATCGTTACTATATATGGGAGACAAAGGAGCAAAAATTGAACAAAAGGTAAACTCCACCCCACGCCCCGCCTGGCTGTGCTCTGGGCTCAGCCTTTTGGGTATTAGAGCCCTGAGCCTGTCCCAGCACGAATACAGCTGCCTCCTAGAAAAAACAGCCTCCATGTCCCGACTGTGTGCGGCTCCCTTATACAGTGGACATGTTGCCTGAAGAACGTGTGTTTGACTCGGCAGTCTTTCTTAATTTGAGCGTATGAGAGTTTCGCCTAAGCATTCTAATTTTTCCCCCCAGATGTCATTGTAGTAGCAAGGTCTCTCCAAAGGAAGTGTGACTGCCCAGCCTCAGCTGTGTGGGGACCTCTGCTGGTCACTGTCCTGATCACAGTGGAGACTTCCTGGGAGCCACTTTCCCGCCTCAGAGAGGCTTCGCAGCCGCCCTCCCCCACCGCGCCTTTCAGACAGCGGGGATCGGGGATCGCAGAGAACTCTGTCAAGTGTTTGACCCAAGGTGCCAAGGGTTCGTCCGCCTCTCCGTTAAATCCTGATTGTCAACAGAGCCCAGGAACGTGCCCAGGGAGGGGACAGCCCCGCCCGATGACTTTCAGATGGGGCAGGGAGGGAGGAAGCCTGGGCTGGGTGGAGGGCAGCAGGGCGGCTAGTTCCGCGGCAGCAGGGCGGCTAGTTCCGCAGCAGCAGGAGGCATCTGCGTCCCCAGAGCGCAAAGTCCCTGCAAGGAGCGGGAGCTGCGGTGGAGCCCGGGAGGGAAAGACCCCAAGGCCGGGTCTGGAGGAGGAGGGTGAGGGCAGAGGCGCCGTGGTGGCCTCCCGGAAGGGCGCGCAAAGAGGGGCTGCGTGGGGCTGAGTGGCCGCTGGTACCTGTACTGTTGGGTCCATCTGCAGCCCTTTGGGCAGAGGTATTCCACCGAATCTCTTCCACTAGGGCCCTGGGGCTCCATTTCCTGGTCCAAGTCTTGCTTAAGGAAGTTAGGAGTTGTGGTGACTTTCCAGGGCTCTGCGGGGGCGCCACCCTCTTCCTGCCTCAGCCCCGGAATGGGCGGGCCCTGAGTGGATCAGCTGCCTGAGGCTCAGCCCCCTCCTCTCCTTCCCTAGGTCCCTGGCTAGTCCTGGCAGCAGGACCCATGATGGAGTCAGGTGCCTGCTGTCGCGAGCAGGTACCGTGGGTAAAGAAGACTCGGACTTGGATGGCAGTTCACACTCTTATCTTATATTATCATAATTCACTTCAATACAGTTACCACACAATATTAAATCTGCCAATTACCACGTCCCTGCACCTGTACTGCGCAAGTCCTTATGGGAGCGCGACGTTTCCTCCCGTAGGGTCGGAGGGTCCGATCCGTGGACGAAGGGCGTCGAGTCGGCGCTAGGCTATCCGTCTCTCCGCTTGCCTCGTCCTCTGGTCTCGTCTGGTCGGCGGCGATGCTCCTTCCAGCGGGATCAGGTGTGCAGGTGTCTCGGTCGGTAGTCAGATCAGCAGATCGACTGGTCGACTGGTCGGTGGACAGATTGATGACTTGCTTGGAGTCTTCAGCTCCTTTTATACTATTCTAACTGGGCATTTGTGGTATTGGTTCGTACTTATCACGTCTTATCACACTGTCCAATTCGGGGTACACCCTTATCAGTTCCATACCGCTTAAGGTTCTACTTTCATATCTCATGGTTACATATCACCCTTATGATTACATCACACTTAGGGTTACAGCACACTTAGGGTTATACAATTCAATCTTATTCCAAAGTGTTCTCCACACCTTCCCACATAGGACCGTGGGGATTGCAGTGGGAAAAGAGCGTCCTTGGCACCCCCAGAATGGAGGTGGATGTGGGCCAGGTGAGGGAGAATTGTAGGACCCCCCCCCTTCCACCCAGGGTGCACCCAGACTTCACTCAGAGCTTTGCCCCATACCTGCTGATTGAAGGAAGGTGTCAAGGGCTGGGTGTGAGGGTCCCTGAGGCTGAAATAGGATCTCAACCCACCCCCTTAACATAAATATGCAGGTTCACTGACTGCCACCTAGGAAGAAGAATTTTCAGGACGTGTCCGTGAAAGAGGCATGAGGAAGATTTATTAGAGGGAGATACAGGGCGCTCTCAAGATGGGGGTGTGGGTGTGCAGAGAAATGAGGCAAATAGTTGGGAACTGGGGATCTTCTATGTTGCGGGAGGTGGGAGCTAGTTGGATTCAATACTCTGTAGCCTAGGATGGCCCACCCCTAGTGAGATAACGGTCTAATCCTATGGAAAATCCCAAAGGGTAGTCCCTTCGCAGCTGAGAGAGGACGGTTCGCAAGTAAAAGGGAATGGGCAGATCTGTTTGCAGCCGAAAGGGAGTTGGCCAGGTTTGCTGTTTTGGGAGAAGGAAGAAAAAGCAAAACATTTAGATTGGACTTGTGTTCTGAGGCCGTAGTTTTTCTTTAAAGTACAATTTTAAAAGTCTCGATTTCCTGTCTCCTTTGTACTTAGCTTTATTTTTTCTATCCTACCTCTGAAGGGAAGGTTTGAGGTGGGCTGATGGACAGCACGGGTTCCCATCGCTACGCCTGTACTCCCTTTCCCCAACTCACTATGTAGCCCACTCTGGCGTCCAGCTCTCAGAGATCCTCCTGCCCCCGCCTCCCACATGCTGGGATTACGGTGTGCGCCTCCACGCTCCGCTGCGGCACTAGAGAGCTTCAAGGGACACGGCAGCTCCGGGTTGCTGTTTTTATGCTTGGTTCTTCGCCTTGGTCCCCTCACTCAACATCCCAGCTGACCGAGGGGTGCAGAAGGCCGGCCAGCCCCATGGGTTCAACGGGGCACAGGCTCAGAGGTGGCGATGGGGTCCTCAGGGAAGAGACAGCGGCTGGTGGCAGCAAGTCTTGCTCTGGACCCCTGCAGCGTCTCCTGTTTCTCGCTGCAGTCGGAAGGTGAAGGAGGCCAAAGACCAAGGGACCTGTGCCTCACGCAGCCCGCTCCGGCGTGGCGGTGTGGACTAAGAAAATGTGGAACGCCGCTCCCACAGCTTTCCACTTCGATCCGTCTAGGAGTAAAATTTCGGAGGGATGAGCGCTTTGCGTCGTTCGAATAATCTTCCTGAAGAATCCCCAGCGTGGCTGCGCTTGAAGCCCTGTGGAGGCTGGCGAGCGCCCTCGGGGTACATCACAGCGCCCCCGCGTGGCAGAAGGTGGTCTCACCCTGCGCCAAGGGAACGGACTCAGAACCTTGCAATTGACCTTTTCTATTGCCCCGGAAAACAGATGGACACAGGAAAACAACACTGGTGGAAAACTAATACTTTCACTGACCAGAAATACATGCATTTTAGAAGCAAATCTGGTGAAGAACGCAGACCCGGGAGGCATCCCTAACCCAGCTCGGAGGCAGCGGGGACCGGTGGTGAAGTCCCCAGCTTTGAGCCAGGCAAGTCTGACCTCTGCGCCTTTTAATGTCTCTGAGCCTCGCATATTCCTCATCTATAAATGGGCAGATATAATACCCACCTTACAGGGTTAATGTGATGATTTATGTAAAGAACTTAGTACACAGTGCAGGTACCTGGAACGTTAAAAGAACCGAGGTAAGGACAGTTATTATACATAACTTCTGTCTATCTATCTAGATATCTGTCACCTATCCATCATCTGTGCAGGGATCGAACCCAGAGCCTCATGCCTGCTAAGCGTCTACTCTACCACTGAGCTACACCCTCGGCTCTTTTTACTTATTTTTTAAAAACTTTTTCCTTCTGTGTAATTTTATTTCAAGAATGTCACAAAACTTTCTCCCAGTCTGTGGCTAGGGTTTTAGTTTTTGATCTTTCCACATATAGATATTTTAATTTTTTTTCAAAAAGTATAATATTCTAAATCAAAATTAACATAGCTTATTGTTGACACAGTGTGATCAAGACTGCTGATCTTGAGGTGTTGGATTATCCTAGTGATTTTTCTCATGACTTTTGATTTGCTTTAGGTGTGTTAATGTTCACCAGATGGACACCAAATTAAACTGATAATGCAATTTCTGGCATCACTCGCTTTTTATCCAGAGCAAAACAACTTGGTTCTGTACTTAGTTCAAATCCTATTCATTTACAGAAGCAAAGATGGCTTTGCAAAATTTAATACACATTCAAGCAGCAACCAAAATTAATTTCTTGGACTATTAGGTTGGCTCTTTTCTATTTCTGGTGCAGTCATTGTGGGAGCAAGTATGTTCTGAGTCTTACAGGTCTCTCTGTTGCTTAGCTTGCTCTCCACACCGGTTCTCTTCCCTGTCTCCCACTGTCTCACAGCATTTTCCTTTTTCTCTTTTGCTCAGGTCCTTGTAGTCTTTAGCTGTGAAGGGGGATTTAGATATTTTAATTTTTAATGCTTTTGAATGTGTCAACTTTTTAAACTCATGTATGTGGTGTGACATAGATGTCTAATTTTCAATTTTGCTTATGTATAACCAGTGCAAGAATAATTGAATGAATCCTTAACTACATCCTCCTGTCCTATTGATTTGTAATTCATTTAATTTAAGTGTGTACTCATACACCACATATACATATGTGTATGCAATGTATGTATGTGAACTCCCTCCTCCATTGCCTTATTTGTGTCTGCCTAGAAGCCTGACACCTTGCCCTCCTTACATCTTAACAGTAAGTCTTTTTTTTTGGTACTGGGGATCGAACTCTGGACCTTGCGCTTGCGAGGCAGGTGGCAGAACCACTGAGCTAAATCCCCGGCCCTTAAGTCTTAATATCCAATGTGGAGGTCTCTGCCTTATTTTCTTCTTCTTTGAAATTGTATTGCCCCTTTGTAGATTGACATGAATTTACAGATCAGATTTTTCATGTCCCATGGAAATCCCATCATGAGCATGGAGATCAGTTTAGGGAAGTATAGACATCTTTGTGACACTGAGCCCCTTCATGTGCTAAGGTTTGAATGTGTTCTCAGAGTTCATGAGTTGGAAACTTGACCTCCAGTGTCACAGTGTTAGGAGTGGAATTTGAAGAGGTGATCCGGTCTTTTTCTTCTTCTTTTTTTTTTCTTGAAAGGATCTTGCTGTGTTGTCCAAGCTGGCCTTGAACTCACAGCAATCCTTCTGCTTCAGCCTAAACTACATAGTAAGACCCTATCTAAAAAAGAAAAAAAAAAATTAGTCAGGGATTTAGCTCAGTGGTTCCGCCGCCTGCTGTGCAAGCGCAAGGACCTGAGTTCTGAGTTCAATTACCGGTACCAAAAAAAAAAAATCAATAGGAGACGATTAGCTTTTTACTTTTTTCTGAGAAAGTTCGATTCTAATTCTTAAAGGGTTGATCAAACCATGAAACCTTCCATGTTGATATTTTGATGTCATTGTTTATATAGATACTTAACAGTTGCATTTCTTCCACAGTTTAGGATTGGTTCATGTGTTTTATTTCTTTTAGCTTCCTTTTATCATATTTTTTTCTAGAAAATTGTTCATTTTGCCTCATTTTCAAATTTATTGAGATAGATGTGCTCAGAATATTCCCTTCTGACCTTTTAGTCTCTAAAGTTATGGTGCTATTTTCTTTCATAATTTATTTTATGTTTGCTTTTGCTTTGTTTACAGAGTTTTACATTTTTATTTATTTAATTTACAGAGTTTTTTCTAAAGATTTATTATTTTCTCCAAAGTGCTAGGTTTTGATTTGGTTAATCATTCTGTTGTTCTTTTCTCTAACTTCTTGAATGGATCACTTAAACTTTAAATATCATTTCTTTTCTAAGACATGCATTAAATGACACAAAATTTCTTTCTTTCCTTTTTTTTGGACTGTTTTGCTTATATTCCATAAGTTTTATATTTTAAAAGCTTTTTTAAAAAATCAAAATCTCTAAATATGCCCAATTGCCATTAGGAGAGACAATATGCCTTTTAGGTAAAAGCAGGAATCTGACTGGAATCTGAGGCTGCCGAGTTTAGCTGTGCAGTCTATCTTGAACTTGTTAAGAATCAACATTAGTATCCAGGTACCAGGAATCATCAAAGCTCGGCCTTT